GTAGCTGTGTCTGAAATTAATTTATTTATATCAAATGGCAGGCGTTTTGATAGTTATCATTAGCCCTGTAGTTGACTTCAGGCTTCGTGAAGGGGAGTAACAGACAAAGTGGAAAACAGTCGAGAGGGATAACAGAAGAGTGATTCAAAGATGTAAATAGACAGACGGACAAAAAGGGGTAGAAAAGGATATATGGCTACTGTAGAAGTGGTTGAATAAGACATACTGTGTTGCAATAGTAGTCTGAAGTCAACTGCCGGTTGATTGACTTTTTTGCCGTATGAGTATACGTTGCCCAGGGAGCACCACGCGGAAGTAAGTCTATCGTACACCCCCAGTGTCTGAAATCCTTTCTCCAGTTGTGTTAAGTTTTGATGGGTCCGAATTACGCGGCTAACTAAACATGCCTTTTTATTTCCTCTAAATATAAATCTGTTAATGGGTCTGGTACTTCTAATCACTATTTTTTATAAGTAATCAAAACATCAACTGTAACATGCGAAATCGATAGAGATTACTTTTGAATATCCAAAGTGACTTGACATAGCTAATGCGCACGTTGATAATTACGCCATCTGCAAACAGAGAAATTACTCTTAAACCCCTAATTCTTTTCAATCAGAACTATAATTTATCACCTTTTTTCGCCTTAATGGGTAGAAGCCATTTGTAATAATTTAAGTGATGAGTAAGTTTGGTAATTTTTCCCAATGACACAGCAGAATAGCCTGTCATCTATTATAACTCTACCTCCAATTAAGGGAAACCACACAGAGGAGGATCTCATTCATATCAAGTGCAATGTCTATATCTGTAATGGGAAACTCCTTCATTGAGTGAGCTATTATTACCGAATTTGGGGCAGTGTGCGTCAATCTCTGCAATTACCTAAACACTCGATGTATCCTCAACAGAAATTCTATTTTTGTTTGATTTTAGTTCATCATCGGTAATCCTACCTGCTGTGCTAATATTCGTCAAGCAACTGTGCGAGCTAGTGCCACCAAATAGTGCAGGAGATGCCATTATTCCTGACTTGGGTCCTCCCTCTTCAAACAATAGGAATGGTAGTGGAGCAGGTAGCGGACTCTCTCGCAAACAACTCAAACAACGTTCGAAGAGATCTGCCAAGTTGGCGCGAAGGCAAATGGTGGAGAAAGGCGATGAAGGTGATGGAACGACTGCTGAGGCTGATCAGGGTAAATTTTGTTGCCCATACTTTTTTCAAGGTCCAATTGAATTCTTGTTATTGTATTCAATGCTTACTATTAATCGATATTTACAGAAATTATTTATAAGTTAGCCTATAAGGTACTACTTGGGCAATCTTTCAATGTTCCAGAAATCGAAATTTTCCCAATAAATGCCTTGAAACATTTGTCATTTGTATTTAGGTGTTTTCTTTCATTCTCCCCATTCCATTTTGTAATGGGAAAAAGTCAGAGGATCATTGCGGCCATAAATGTTTCGCCTAATTTTTATTCCATTTGCATTTCTTTACTTGCATTTTTATTTCGCTTTAGCATGTTTCAAGGAGTTGGAGTGTTGCTAGCGGTACGCTTTATCTCCGCTGGATGGTATTATTGTTTTATCAATTTTTTATATCACATGTAATTTGATTTTGTGTCTGATAGAACACTACAAAATTGTATCAACGGTAAAATTTTGTTTCGTCTTGTATTTATGGCTTTAGAAAGTAATTAAAACATTAAGTAAATGAGTCTCAAAAGTGACATTGCGAGCATATATAGCTGGATTTTGGTATTACAATCAAACATTTATTTATATCAAGTGACAGGCATTTTGATGGGGTGTACGATAGACTTACCTCCACGTGGTGCACCCTGGGCAACGTATACTCATATGACAAAAAAGTCTATTAACCGGCAATTGACTTCTGACTTCTAACTACCATCACCCCATTGTATGTCAAATTCGACTACTTTCACAGTACTTGTCTTACCTTTTCGCTGTCTTTGTGTCTACCTGTCACTTTTACATTGTTAAATCACTCTTCTATTCCCCCTCCCGAATTCTTCTCACTTTGGTGTTCCTTCTTCCCTCTCTGAAACCCGAAGTCAACTAAAGGGCTAATGGTAACAATCGAAACGCCTACCATTCTAATCGATAGGCGTTTTGATAGTTATCATTAGCCCTTTAGTTGACTTCAGGCTTCACTCAGGTGAAGAAACATTAAAGTGTAAACGTATACGTTGCCCAGGTGCCCCACGTGGAGGTAAGTCTATCGCATACCCCTTACAGACAAACCTCTTTCCGAGTAAATTATCATACACTCATGATGCTTTTCAGAGTATGGCGATTTTTTGTAGACTTTGAAAGACCCGCTTTTTTAATCCCTTCTAGAATAAAGTACATTTTTGTGTATTTCAGACTCGACTCAATCGAACCAAACTTCTACCAGCCGATTGGGCAAATCTGAAGTCCTCTCTCATCTGCTGAAACAACAAACCCTCCTATTAGTGTGGACTCTAGCTGCCGATGGTGCTATCTTGAACTCAAATTCATCGCCATCCTTAATGATTCATGACTATGCTCAGTCTCTGGCTTCTTTCCTTCTCTCTACAACAAACCAGGAGGACTCAGAGTTGCCTTCTCTTGCTTTTCTAAATCAGACTAGTCCAGCACTCTCATGGAGATGGGTTCATACTTTAGATTTCTGCCTTCTTTACAGTGCTCGAATTCGACGTATAACGCCCAAGTGAGTCCGTCTTACTTTGAGATTTCATGTGCTGTCGACACGATAGTGACAAGACAGTGAATTGAGTAATGATAACTCTTTAATGTGCGCTAGCGATGACAGATCTATAATTTCGGAGGGTATTTGGAAGCTGGTTGAAGTGCTTATTTGTAGGAGTTTATGGAGAATCACAGTGAAAACATGTCGGAGTAGTTTGGAAGTTGTGGATCATTTGAATCTCTATAAGGTTTATGATAGATCTGATAATGCAGGCTTGAAGATAAGAACTTGCCCATCGCTAAGTCAGAATTTAGTTGGATGCTATTTATTGGACAAAAGTGCGGACATGCTTTGAATATAAGTTGACGTATTACCGAAATTCCACCCCCAATCCCCACAATTTTTTCCCTACTGCTGTTTCTTGAACGTAATAATCTCTTCTATATATTTATTGGTTGTTACATCGTTAATCATGCCAAGAACTTTTCACTCTTGATTAATTTCTTTTCTATTATAAAAGAAGTCAATATCCTTTTGTTTAAATATGTCTCCTTTCTCTGTTAGGCTTTCTGACTCCTTGAGATGTCTGACTGCATCAATGGTGACTGCTATTGCCTGCATTGTTCGTCGATGGTGTCGACGCCAGAGTTTATCCAGTGCTTCAAAGGTTCCTCCACGAGCTCCTCGAATTGTGGTTCGAGCTGCTGGGATCTTGACAGCATTTCTTTATCAAAATCTTGAAAGGCAACGATTCCATTCGTCTGCAGACAATCACCCACTGCGAATTGACGATACCTGGATAAGGTGAGCCAAACTATTCCAAAGTAAAAAGGAGGACAAAATAGACCAACGCAGAAGTTGGGTCTCTTTAAAAATGCGCCTTTACTTTCCGTAGTTTTTTGCTGTTCCATAGTTCTTCTCGAAGACATTTGTTGAGCAATAAACAGCTGGTTCTGAGTTCCCTAGGCTTTGAATGTAAGAAACAACCCATAAAAGTTCCTAACCCTTTAGCTGATATTACACTTTCCTTGCTTTGCTCTGCTAAGTTGATTTATTGAGTGAAACCTTTTCAGTCATTATTGATTGAAATTACCCCTTAGGCGTTCTTATATCATTGTCCACAATTTGTCCATCGAAAATGGAAGTGAGATTTAATGTGGAATCAAAAAAAATACATATTTTAATCACATTCCCTTTGTGATATACGAAATGGCTGAAAAAGGCTTGCTGCTGGTAATATATTTTGAGGTGAATATTAGCTTGTATCGACAAATTTCACCAACCTACACGTCTCCTATTTGGATTGCATTCAGCTCTTTTAAGCTAGTCGTTTCCTCTTCAGAGCCACATTAAATGACTTCAGTGAAGTTACCGCCCCAACTGGAATGGAGAATCCTCTCATGGCATTTGTAGATGACCTTTGTGATCTTGTCGAAAAGGCGTCAGTTGAAGTCGAGGCCAATAAAAGCAAATGGATTTGGGCAGCCGCTTGTCTCAATAGTCTCGCTGAACTTCAGGTGTGTTGCTTTTTTTAATTCAAAAAATCCTACTTATGCCTTCAATATTTATATTTCATGAAAATTTATCTCGAGTTTTTGGGCTTTAGCTTGTGCACATGGTATTAGAAAGGGCTTAAGTCTTCTGGAATTTTTCAAATCTAGGCACTTTGCCTAGTGCTTCTACTTATCACTAAGTAGTTTCTAATTTATGTTCACGCATAATCTTCTCTTTTTATTACCCGCGATACCCACTTTTGTTTCCCATATCTCGTTCATTGCAATGTTCGCAAGCAAGAGAGCTAATCGATGGTTTGTTTCCACACTTTGTGTTGACAGCACTTAAAGTGCAAACGTTCTCATATTGCAGCATTCCAAGCTAACATTGGGTCAATAAATAGACAAAAAGACAGTTTGGAGTACATTCGGACGAACTTACTGGAAGCATACTATCCAATGTGACCAACTTTGCACTCTCAGGCATCAACTCGTAGCAAGTGGTGTGTCGAAACAGCACCGTGTAGACCTCAGATTCATCTAGAAACAAAGAGAAATTACAGTGTGAAATGATGGTATGGGGTGTCGTTATGGAGATGTGAGCACAGAGTCATTGGTGGAACATGATCAGTAGCATTTTTAATGTGGACCAGTGAACGCAATTGTGCTCTTCTTGCTGCGTTCAAAGAACCAATCTGAGTCCTATTATCTGCGACGTTCGCGTGTGTTCCTCCGTGTTGAGGGAATAAGTACTTCCTCAACGATGCCAACGCTTCAATTTGCTAATTTAAATCGAGGACCCTTGCACTTTGCATTCTCCCGATTTACCCAAGAGGCTCGTTCAAAACTGAGTGAAGCATAGAATAAGTTGGTTAGGATTTCGATCCATCAGGTTTTGATTGACTCTCTACGTGTACAAGATGGAGATTGAATTCCTCTTGCACGGTTTTTAGCAGTGAATTAAGTGAAAATGCCTAAGAGGCTTAACTTGTGTAGCAAAATGGTAGCTTTATCAATTTGTCACATTTTAAATTGCGTATTTAAGATTGTTCACACAAGATTGCGGTTCGGGAATAATGACGCCAACAGAGTGCTAGGCTAATTAGCTTCAAGGGCAACATTTATCCCAGAAATTGGATAAATCGGAGACGGTTTAGAGTTATTTCTGAGCTTTTACAACTACATCACTTTTAATTATGACTTTATAGTTAATCAGAATTGAATTAGAAACAAGGCAATTCCTGTGTAATTCCTCTGGAGAAACCAGTGTCAACCCTACTTGAAAAAATGTGAAATGGGAAGCCAACTAACTAGAATTTGACGTTTGTGCTTCATCTCTATTAGTCGGCCACCATTGGCATCTTCGTTAATGCTCAGACGCATATCTCCCTTGACAGTTTAGCGGTCGTTTGGTCAAAACTGCCTTTAGTCGGGCTGTTTTAATCACCAAACCTCAATCCTAGAGTTGCATTGGTGATTTTAGTTGAAGTCGCTTTCAGCATCCTCCCTTCAACTTTCTGACCAATCTGGAGTCTCTTTATCGAAAACCCGCAAATTGTGTTGAACTTCGTGGTGTGCGATAGTCGTACCTCCACGTGGTACGATCTGCTTTTAGTTCATTAGTTCCTACAATTTGATATTTCAACAATAAGCCTCAATTTAGTGGTGATGGGGCCAATAAATTGGATTCTTGTCACTGCAGTAAACGCGCATATATTTGTCCGTGCGTGTGCCTTCTCATTTTGCCTCATTTACCATTTCGTATGTGTGGTTACTACTGGCAGCGTAAATTAAATGTCTAGTAGTGTAGTTTGTTAAAACAAAGAGAGCTTCTGCATCTTTCTATTCAAGTTATCTTGTTTTGTGTATAACTGAAACTAATGGCATTGTAATTAAACCTCAATCATCCAATAACGTGGTAGTTAAAGAAATCGTCAATTGCCTGTCGTTCCAGGTGCGTCCAAGTTCCTCTTCCTTCTGTTTTCCAAATTTTCTCATTCTATATCTTTTTTTTGTTTTCAATGGTTTTCTGAGGTTCCCTTCAATAGACTCTAATTATCACCAAGTCGTATTTTAATTGCCATCAAATATCACTGCAACGTCAAATAATACGAAAATCTGTATATTTTTTAACTGTTTCATTTTCGCACATTAAGAACGCAATTTACAACCTTAAGATCATCTTTCTCCCTCTTTGTTTCAAATAAGTAGCATAATATAGAAAGGGGGGGGGTATTTTATTTTGTTTCCAAGTTGAATAGTTCTCATTTTCATCCTCTTTCTGTTTTAGTGTTTAAACGTGTGCGAAAGACTGGAGTCCTCATCAGTCCTAGCTGATGCAGTTCACTCCTTGAAGAGCTGGGCTCATAAACCGACAGTTTTGGATGACTCGCTTATGAATCTGCCTTCGCCGGGAACAGCCGCCTATCCTTGTGTGAAGTCATGGAAGTGTTTGCCAATTGAGCGAATATACGCTCAAGATGGTGGCTTCGGATAAAAGGCCACTTTGGAACATGTATCTATTAGGTTGGCAACTAAGTCATTGCCGATTTCAAATAAGCCGGAATTTTTGTTTAAAAATATAACTTTATTCAATCAGATATTGGACGTTCTTGTCGATGACCTTTTTCCATCCTTCTGTCGTTTGGTTCTGCGGCATGAGTTCAAAATACAAAATTTCTTTGTGATCCCCCCACCAGACTGACAGCATAATCTTTTTTTGGTGAATCTCTGCTGCTATTGATACTGTTTGGGCTGGTTGATCTTGCTTCACCCATGATCTCTTGCGAGTAACATTCTTATAAACTATCCACTTTTCGTCGCCAGTAACTAGGTTCTTCAGAAATGGATCATTCTCATTGCGTTTCAGTAGCGGCGAATCACAGATGCTAATCCGTTGCGTCAAATGAATTTCCTTTAACTGGTGAGGGATCCATAAATCAAGTTGCTTGACATAACAAAGGGTTTTTAATTTTTTTCAATGCATGTATGCGACACATTGAGCTTCTCTGCAATATCTCGTGTTGTGCTGTGACGAT